CTCTCCCTCAAGCCTCTCGTTAGCAGTGCCGAGTGCTGTGCCGGGCTTGTCATCTCTTTAACTTCTTTAACTGATACAACAGCAATAAATTCGATGTTTGCTGTGGGATAGTGCATAAATCCTGAACAATGCAAGCTCTCACGCAGACTTCAAAGAGATAAGGGCATTAGCCATTGCCAGAGCATTAAATTTTCATTGTATTTACATCAGGAACTGGGTATTGCCTCACCACGTCACGTCCTTCGCAGCGCTGGTTTTGGCTGATAACTGCAAACTCTGGAATAGAAATAGAGAGATGGAAAAAAAAACCCTGGCACTGCCTTTGGCAGACGGCTATTTCACTCTTGCAAAAATCAACGTGCAATCGCATCGCTATTGCGAGCAAAGCCCAAAAGTTCAAATGAAAGAGGATGAGAGACCATGTCCGACCAACCCATGGAGCCGACAGGGTCCTTTCCTCCTTTCCCAGCCCGTACCTCCACATCGGTTCCCATGCACGCCACATTCATCTGCCCTGCTCTGGGGAAAGCCCCTGTCAGTGCCATTCCTGCTATCCCCACCCTCCCGAAAATGCTTTCCTGCTCCTCTCCTCTGAGAAAGGAGAGCAAAACCAGATGGTACAACGAGGTCCAAATCTGCTGCTGACAGGTCAGGGGCTCGGGCTTGCAGCAACGTTGCAATCCCCACAGATCCTTTGTGTTTTCCCTTCCTCTGATCTGCCCACAATTGAAGACAGATTTGCAAACTAGCTCAGAAACAAGAAAACCGGCAGCCAGACTTTCTTCAGTCACCCCAGAGCCAGTGACAGCCACTGCACGCTGGATTTTTACCTCGAGGCAGTAACTTCTGCCTAAAAAGTCCCTACAAAGCACCAAAACGAGGATAACGCGGGTTTGGCTGGTGGCCAGCCAAAGGATTCAATATCAAGAAGAAGAACGATATTGCTCTAGTCGCTCTGGACAAAAAAGTCGGTGAAAGATTTTGGGGTATCTGCTCATTTCTGCAGTGGACGGTAGTACTGAAAAGAGACGCGAGCACCTGCAGCCCTCTGGTCTGAAACTAAGATGTCAGACAGGCAGGAGGTCGATATTCCCGTGGCTGCAGGAAAGGAGGAGCCACGCAGGGATTCCTGCTCCTGCAGGAGCCAAATGTGAAACCTTCACCAGGAGAAGAGCCCAAGCCGCTCCCTGACCCACAGCAGGGACTTCAGGGATGCTCAGGGCACTTGTGTCACACGGGGATCGATGGAAACCAGGCCAGTGTGAGCATTATGGGGGAGACAGCCAAAATCACAGTGCGTGCATGCAAAACCATGCCTCGGAGCTTGAGGAGATCATCTGGAGATCATCACCCAGCTGCAAGCAGCCTGGGGCCAAGGGATCTGCACCCAGGCAGGGTGCACCAGCCTGGGCAGAGGAGACACTCTCACGGCTTCTACCGAGCTTGGTGCTGCAAACCCTCTTGCCCCACAGTCTTCCTCACCCCGGGAAGGCTGGTAGATTGCAGCGAATGGTTTTTCAGCCTAACACCATAGTGTTTTATTTATGTCGCTTTATGCAGGGTTGGACTCCCCCGACAGGTCTCTAAAAGCTGCAATCTGACATAAATTAGAAATGAGCGAGGTGGTTCCAAATGAATAATTTACAAGACAAACCCGCTCTCTTTCCAACCGTTTCTGCCATCGCCGAGAACAACCCTTTGTATCCTGGAACACATCAGTTATTTGCCATGCCCCAACGATGTTGTGATGGGGTTAGTTTTTAAGAGCTCACCCATCACACAGCACTGCTGTACGCAGCATTCAGCAGTCAGCGTTTGAGCTCCATCCTCCTCTCCCACGGCCCGATGCCCTGAGCCAGCAGGTCTGCGGTACGGACTGAAGGAAAGTCGGACCTAGACCGTGCTCAGTTTCTCCTTTGGGAACTGCTTCCAGTTCTGTAATCAGTAGAACTTAACTTTTTTTTTTTTTTTTTTTTGCTACAGCAAGCCTCACAATTTAGAAGTTGAGGCTTATCCTGTGGTTAGAGCGCGCTCAGGGGACACAAACCCTCTCACTTCCATGAGAACAGAACTTCCCAAACATCTGGTGTCACAGACAGAGCCAGGCAGGCATTTGCAGCCACGGGGAAGCACGATGATGCCCGAAAGCAAGGCTATTTCTCAACAAGCTGTGAGTATTGTTTTGGAGGCTGATGTAAAATGCCCGAGATCCATGACACAAGATCGCCGTGCTGGCCATCCCTCACACCACGCGGGGAGGAGCAGACAATGCCCTGGCAACCCACAAACCCAGAAAAATGCATCTTGTTACACTAAGCTTCCCCAAGCGTTGCTGTCATCTGGGTGGACCACTCCTTACGAAGAGCAAAGGCATGCATTTTTCCTGGTTTTGGTCTAATTGCTCTTATTTCATACATCTTTCATCCACAGAGACACACAATAGTTTTGCTGCTTCAGCATAACTATTTTGACTTATTAATTCTTCAACAAGTCCACGTTTCTGCTGGGTAACAGTAATAGTCAATATATGCACTCAACATAGCTAACTGGGTTCTTAAATATAGGTATCTTGGCAATTATGACTGTGAGGATGATTGTCACAAACGAGACTGTGGGCTGACTGTGCAGAACTGCAGAGGACCCACAGGGCTGAGTGGCTGCATAACAAAATGCAGATGAAGTTCAACGCAGAAAGCAACAGCCCCGAGACTCCGCTTAACGCTGGGTTCTAGCTGACCACTACCTGTCTGAGCGAGGCGTCAGGAGCCTGGTAGACTGCTCTAAAGATCTGAGATAAATACTCAGTGGGCAACCTCAACCCATCAGGCCCTTCCCAAAACTCAAACCACAAACGTTAGAAGCGCAGTAGAAAACAAACAGAAAAATTACACAGCTCTACAAAGTCATGGTGTTCCCACAACTTGAGTACTGCACACAGCTTAGTCCCCTTACCTCAAAGACGGAGGTATAAATTAATGCATCTCTACTGAAAGAACTGCATTATTTTATGGCAATTGAGGACCTTACCACCTATGCTGTGAGTTAAATTAAATAACAGTTCTTAATTTTATATTTTCAAGTTCTGCAGAAGGTCTGTCAGGCATCAACACTTCCTGCTGGGAAGATGCAAAACAAGTTCTCCTGCCAGTGTGTGAGCAGGAGACCATCAGCACCCACCTGGACCGTGGCATGAACAGCCTCGGGCACCTGATACTTCAACTCGTTAGCAGTTTGCTGAGACTTCGGCAACAGGAACGGGTAGGACAGGGATCGGTATTTGGGCTTCATAATCTGCCCAGGGAGAAAAAAGAAACAAAAAAACTTTGAAGAGATTGCAAGATAGCAGAATAACATAAAAATAAAATGCATGCCTACAGAGGGCACGTGGATGAGGCAGGGGCTGTATTTATTTCCATGCCCCCAGCATAGATGCCCATGCCCCACCTTGGTGAAGTTCCAGCGCTGGATGAAGTGACGGGCAACATCACGCGCCGCTTTGCCATGTACCACGGAGGAGATGTCGTGCCAGGGCATCCTCGGGGTGGTGTATCTGTCAATGAAGTCTACGGGACAGGAAAGCACGTTTGGACCTCAGACAAAGGACGTGAACGTGGAGAAGCACAGTGCCCCCCTCCTCAAACTGAAGTTCCTGGGACATGGCACCAAGGGCTGGGCAGATGAATTACCATGCCTTCACCTGCGGTCCAAGTCCATGGACCATAACCACATAATTGGCCCTACAACCTCTCAAAGGGAGTTTTGCTGCTTCTTCCTAGCAGCCAAACCAAAATAGCCTCATTAGCTCTGGCTCAGAAGCAGGAAAAAATATGGCTTGAGACTGAAAAGATGCGGAAGAGGGTTTGGGGGAATGTAATGACTCCCAGGGTGCAAAGGCACTTACCAGCAAAAGGTTTGTCAAGTTGAACCCAGTCTTTAAAGACAAAGTTACAATAGTCTTTTCCGTGCCAGAACCTGGTTTCCCCAAGCAGCTCACCAACACCCGTCTTCAAGCTGCGGATGGATCCTTTATCTGTCACAGGCGAACAAGATAACAAAAACACACGCTCCAAAGTCACAGCTGTCCATCGCACACCGCTGGCGAGAGACTCGCTGCCACAGAAAAGCACTGGTGGGACTTGCTCGTCCTGGTTGGCTGAAGCTGTTTTCTCCCTAGTCTGCCTGTTCCTTTCAAAGGATGCATATTAGTATTTTTTCTTCCCTATTTTAATATTTGTTATACAATCAGGACAGGTTATATATAGGAGTCTGTTATGGAAACAAAAAGCAGATGATGAACTCTCTACATCAGACTAAAAACCCACGCTATAATCATTTGTCTTTCCACAGTCCTATGACACCTAAATATTACTGTGGGGCAGTCCACTCCCAGCTGGGACTGCCCTTAGTGGATATATGTACAGGAACATCACATATATCATCTACTTAATATATTTTACAATACTGATGAACTAATTCCAACTTCTCTGCTAGAGGGTTTATTATTTTGCTGCTACAGCTGGGTGTATCCCCTCTAGTCTTTATTAGTTAGAATGAGATGATGCAAAAGCTCATGTTCCCTCAGTAAGTATTGCGGGATTTGTTTGATTTTGTTTTTCCAAAAACCAATATAATCTTTTGATACAATTTTACATGTTGAACATATGGATCCCGAATTCCAAACTGATGGTGATTAAAAATAGCTTAAAATACCGTAGACAGGGATTGTCCCTCCTAACAGGATCACTGTTCTAGAACACTTATTTTAGGTCCAGCATGAACTCTTTTTCCTCTCTCCTAAGAAAACCAACAATGTTGGCCGAGACCATAAACATTTAACAAGCATTACTTCCTGACCCTGAGAGCAGCCTTCATCCACTGTACCAAATATTATTGCGATAATTGCACAGTAACATGCCAAGAGCAGAAGCCTTCTCCTAACCCAACTCCATCACCAGGTAACCATGAAAACCCCTTAGCACAAAAAAAACCCACCCCCTTTCAACGGTCAACAAAATACACATCAGCAGCAGCGCAACAAGACCAGTTGGCACGAAGCAAGCCCTGCCAGTGCTGCTGCAACCCCACCGAGCCGAGCAGAGCCAAGCCATGCCAAAAATGCCATGCAGCAGGTATGCACCACGGCTGCCGTGGGAAGCTGGAGCTTCTAGTGAGAGTCCAGGTGGAGCTGGGGAATCACTGACTCTGCGGGCTGGAATGGGAATGGGTGGGACATGATGTGCGGCCGAAACATGCTCCATGTACTGAGCTTCGATGGCTGTACACCGACTCATGAATGAGCATGAGGTGACCACAGGGAAGACCGCACTTCATCTCCATGAAGCATATACATCTCTTCCTTGTTACCTGCCACTACCTTCTAACCAATATTTTGTAATTGGCAATTAACACCTTAGAGGAAGGCATTAGCAAGCGGAAGATGTTGAAGAACTGCTCCTCACCCCAAACCAGGACTCAAAGGCATCTTGATGAGGTACCATATTTAAACAGGTCCTTTCACCATGCGTCCAGAGCTCAGAAGAGCTCAGTGCTCTACAACCACCCAACTCCTTTCTCAATCAGGTATGCTTTCACTGATTTCAATAAGGGGCAAAAGGAGAGGCCCCCCAAGACTTCATCCAAACACAGGTCTGGCAGCAGCCGCTTTGCTGCTTCCTCTCTCCGTTTGCATTTGTCTTCTGCCATTAGGCTTATTTTAAAATATCCAGTGCAGAAGTTCCCCATTCCAGTAACAAGTCCCTCCCTTCACAGGAAGAGAACTGCTGAAATAATTATATATCAGAAACAGAGCTTTTTCCTCAACTGTTCCCCGATGTCATTATTGAAAATTTCTTTGGGTTTTTTTGTTTCAGTTTTTGTTGAGTGTTTGGTTTTTTTAAGTTTTTATTTATTTATGCTGCATTTTTTTAAGCTTCTGGAGAAGGCCCTTCTGCTAGGATGCCCTCAGAGGGGTACTAAGGATGCTAGGAGAACAAGCAGCGAAGGCTGATCCTGGCACCCAACCTAACTCTCACCATCGTTACAATGCAAAAAACATCGGCAGCTAAAGCCTGAAGGGGTCTGCACCTCTGCCTTCCTCCACTTACCCTCCTGAGGCTCAGCGAGCCCCTGTTTGGATTCAGTATGGTGATGGAACATTTTCAGATGGGGCTTTAAACTCTGGATTATATTCGGTTGACTTCTAGGGGAGTTACAGTAACCTGCAGAAAGTCAAGATGCTCTATTTATGGCAAAAACTCACGTCCACTTCTGCTACACTGGTGTCCAATCCTGTCTGAAGATACCCTACATGACAGGAGCTCCAAAGAAACATCAGTTCGCTGAAATGGTAAGTGACCACCAGGCAAAGGACCAAATTCAAGACCCAGCTGGTTTTCAAACCAGATATACTGAAGTAGCAAAGCCATAGCTATGTCCTGAGCTGACTGCAGCCAAGGCAAACGATGCTCCAGCAAGGCTTCATCAAGGATGCCGCCAGCCAGAGGCAGGAGTAAGATCTGCAGGGAGCGATGGAAACTCAAGTAAGTTCCCACTGTGAGCAATATACAGCTTCAGGAGCTGAGGACTTCAGGAACAGATTTCAGGAAGGACTCCGCGCTAGAACAAACGTCAAGCAGATCCTTGTGATTTTAGCTTTGAAGCTGTTTTTAATGTGGGGAATTAAAAGCTGCATTGAAATCTTCAACTGTTGAATAGCCTCTCCTCTCTAGTAAGTGGGTAAATTGGAAATATTTCCATTTAAGTGAATTGATTTAAACCTAGGTAATGCTAGCCTATGAGAGGGGATAGTGGCACTCAGGAACTGTTTTGCTTGTTATAATAAATACAAGTTGAAAAATTAAAGATTCAATTCTCCCTTGCAGAACAAAAAATTTCCAGCAGTATAAACATTAAGTATCACGTACACTGTATCATGTCATCTGATAGCTAATGACAATTGCTTATTAACTAAATGCAAATCCACTTAAAACTCTTTTGTATATTTTGCAGTGACACAAATTTACATATTGACTACACGGAGTTATTACTCTGAGAGTTAAGAAATTCATCAACTTTCCTTCCTTACAAAGAACACATTACCCTAGAAATTATGTGAATCTGCATGTACACCCACCCACCCACCTCCACACACACTTATATATGTTTAGTTGAAAAACATTACTTACTTGATTCACTGTCTATGCTGCTGACGCTGTCAGCGTGGTGCATGCTGTGTTTATGGAGATGCTTGTAAATACTGAACCTTGAAAACTTTTTGGGTTTTCCTACTCCTTTCATTTTTGATATGTCTGAGGTGTCATCAGCATTCCTCTGGAACAAGTGGCTTTCTGGGGACAGAGTTTGCGACTGCAGAGGGATACGTTCAGACGACTCCGCTGCAGACTTAAGAGACACAAGACATTGCTGCAGGTGATGTATGGTACAGGTGATCATGCATATCAATGCCCAGAAACGCCATGAGTCAAACTTTGCTCTGTGACAAAGACACACTTTGGTGGGAACCATAAACACTTTTGAGGGAGAGTCTGCACCGAGGAGGCAGTCAACAGAAAAATCCATTAACGCTAGCAGTACGTTCTTCAATCCCGTAAATTTACTCTGGATTATTACTCCCCTTGAAACTCCTATAAATTTAAACCTCTCTACATTTTTTGGGAGATCTCTGGATGCGTACAGATCCAGGCTAGCAGAAATCTCAGCAAGCAAGGCACCTGCTAAGGGCCTGAGTATCCAGAAGTCAAGAGCACTCTGAGTGCCTACGGTGCACTTCTAGTTAAGTTTTGTTAAGAATGTAGCCTCCAATTTGTGACTGCTGGTCCAAGCTCCAGGGGAAACCCAGATGTCTATCTCCATGCCCTAGCAAGGGCTGGTCAGGACCTAGCCCTAAAGAGTCATTTGATGCTCAGATACTGCCTCCATCTCATTACTATTCCTCTTTAAACCTCCTAAACACCACCCTGTGCTTAGAAGTGGACACAGTTTGCTCATCCCCACCGCAGACCTCACGGTCAGATGTTGAAGGTGGCCACCAGCTGGAGCAAGCTCACTTACTGTCAGGTTGGTCGTCGACACCGACTTCACCGCCACCATTCGTTTCACGCTGCCCACGTCGGTCAGGCGATGCTCGTCGTCATCCCACCTGCCATACGCCAAGTCGATGCCACCCACAAATGCCACCGACTGGTCAACTATGACGAGCTTCTCGTGGTGGGCCCAGAGGTACACAGAGGAGGACACGTGGTCCGGGTGTCTCATCACCTGGGGAGAGAAGCAGCACTCAAGCTCTGTGTCATTGCCCAATTTACACCTCCAGCCAGAGCACTGCCCAGCTTTTTTTTTTTTTTGGCTGCTTGGGATGAGGGGGAAACACTGGAGTTTTCAGAAGATGCCTCCACACAAGACTGCTGTAATTACTGAACCTCCCTGAGTTGGGGTCAGCCTTACCGGCAGGCAGGTCTTTCCCCACAACACAGGTATTCCTGAGCAGCAACAGTTAGTGATGTTGGGATAGGTCACACTTACAACAACATAAGAGGACTCTAGTCAAGGAAACTGTTTCAACAAATAAAATCATGCTTTCAGTAGAGCTATAATAGCTCGACTAAAATTTCAAACACAGAGCCCGCTCTAAAAGAAAACAACATATTGGTGATCTGACTCACTTCTTTGGTTGTTGCCACTACATAAGCAAAATGAGAAGTTGGCATGTTTTTTTCCGCATTTAAAATCAGCAAGTTGTTTGACGTTTGTTTATGAGATTCTTTTTGAAATGTGTTTATGGCAAAGTGATTTCTATATCTAAGCATACAGTATATAGTTTTATTTTTTAATTTTAGAGGAGAGCCATTAAACCAGTTTCCTGGGGAAAAGGCTATGGAGTTCCACCTGGCTGCTCCCAAAACCTCTCACACAGCTAGCACATATCTTCCAGTTACACCTTCCAGTCTTGCTGCAAAGATGATGGTGCATGGATGCTTCCCTTCACTGTGATAACTGATCGAGTGACAGTAAATATATTATTCTAGCAGTTTGTTAGTCACCCTCATGAATAACATATATCTTCCTCCTCGTTAAAATATATGTGTCTCTAATTTCAAGAGACTGGATCTAGTCTTATCTACTAGTTTGCATGCCACTACTCATTTTCTGCTTGGTGGCAGAGCAGCAGCGTAACAGCACAGGACAGCGCAATGCTGTTCATTTACTTTCATTTCATGGGAATGCTAAACATCCAGTGTTGACTCTTGTCATCTATATATGAACAGAAATGCTCAAATGAGACAACATTCTCAAATTGTAATTTTCCATTTGATGTAACCCCATTAACTTGTCACATGAAATATGTTTCTTGTGAATTAGATGAATAGTTGCTTTGGCAAGTCTAAACTAAGCAATTTTATGTTCAATTATAACCTAAAGAAATGAAGTTGCCAGATGTGGTAATCACTGTATGGATGATTCTCATATTCCCACAGCAATGGTGGGAATTGCCGTTCTTCCAGTTCACGCCTAACTACACTGAGGGTCGGCACTAGCTACCAAGAACAAATGAATGCAAATGTCCTTCATCGCTGCCCGATGCGCAATTACCTTAATGTTCGGATGAAGGTGCATGAGCGTCCGCTTGCTATATTCACTGTTGATCCCCAGGGCGAGCTCCACCTCTTTGTACAGCATAACAAAAATTCTCACTCCTTGTTGCTGTCAGAAATAAAAGGAAACAGAAGGCATGCAGATGTGTCAATAGGTACAGTCCATTTCCGACGGCAGGTAAAGCTAAGAGGCAGCAAGCACGCTGCGCCTGGAGACAGAAACCCAGGCTGAGGTTACATAGAATCATACAATGGTTTAGGTTGGAAAGGACCTTGAAGATTATTGAGTTCCAACCCCCCTGCCACGGGCACGGACAGCCCCCACCAGCCCAGGTTGCCCAAGGCCACGTCCAGCCTGGCCTTGAACACCTCCAGGGATGGGGCCTCAACAACCTCTCTGGGTAACCTGTGCCAGTGCCTTACCACCCTTAAAGTGAAAAACTTCTTCCTAATGTTTAATCTAAACCTGCCCTCTTCCAGTTTAAAGCCATTCCCTCTCATGCTGTCACTACATGACCTAGTAAAAAGTCCTTCCCCAGCTCTCCTGTAGGCACCCTTTAGGTACTGGAAGGCCGCAATGTTCTTGATGGCACTTTTCCAGATCCACCACCGTGATCTCACAATATGCAAGGACCCGCACTGCTCAGGAAAACTGTTCAACCTCCAGAGAAGGGCTCAGTACCTGGATTTGTGTGTGAAGAGCTGAGCTACGCCAAGGCCCGCCAACAGAGCATTCCCACAGGAGCCCCTTTTAAACACCCTTTCACGTAAAATTTTGCAAATGCAATTCACTCCACTTATAACAACACTGCAAACATCCACTGAAGTTCAGTTTTCTGCTGTTTCATGCTGCCCTGAGGTTTTCCTACAATTAAAAGCTTCTGCAGGACAATACCAGTGTGGTCATATGGACATCCCTCTCTTAAAGGGTATGCAACCAACTCAACATCAGCAAACAAGTTCTTCCTGCTGGTAGAGCTAAACAAGCTCCTGGGCTACAATGAGCAGTGCTAAAAGGATGGTGCTTTTCATGACAAGAATGGTATCTGCAGGAGGGTTTCTAAGGACACTTGCTAAAGCACATTCAAAACCGCCAAGTACTTCCCAAACCTCAGCAGATGACAGACACTGAAACTGCTGCCGTAAATCAGCACAGCTTCAGATCTCGCAGCGGAGCTTAAACTTGGGACCTAAACTTTCCATAGCTTTTTAAGCTTCTATTCCCATAAAGCTGCTACTGATAGTTTGAGCAGTCTCCAAATTGTGGATGATATTCTGCTGCCCACTGCACCCAGAGAAGCCCAAGGCAGTACTATAAGTACATAACGGACAGCCTTGCCCCGGTACTGAGCCACCAGTTTGCCGACCACTCTGCCAAACCAAAGAAATGCCACAAGTGAGACAGCAGACAAGTATTTCCAGGAACTAACCTTAAAACACTCCTCACTCTTACAAGGTATTTATAGCCATAGGAAAATCCATGTCAACATGACAAATGAAGCCAAATCCTTCCATGCAGTGAGCATGCCCCGTGGCCACATTTCATTTGCCAGAAAATAAGACTACTTCCAAATCAACTACAGTCAGATACAAAAAACTATTTTTTTTTTTCCAGGCACACGGAATGGGTAAGGACTGTGACGGTGAGTAGTTTGGAAGGGAAGAGAGTCAAAGACTACTTCAGGACATCCACCTGGACTCCGGCTCTTCTGCCACATCAAGAGTTCAAGAGAATTCCCTGGCTGTGCTTCCCTTCCTGACTCACCCCTCACGTGGGGCAAACTACTGTTTCCACACCGGTGTTATCATGGGTTGGGTGAACAACTGACGTACAGTCCACATCCATAAACACCTCACGCTCAGCTCCTGCGTCTGGCTCTCTTGGCTCCATGAAACATGTTCTCTGTAGTCTGGATACAGACGTGTTATTGGAAAGCACAGTACAACCAGCAACTAAACAAACTGTTTTCTGAGATGAAAACGCTTAAAGAAAAGAGAAACAGAGCTAGTAGTTACAGCTCGTATCTCAAAGCGCTGCACGAGAAAAGAGAGCACGCAACAGCACAGCATCCTGACCAGGAGTGCCAGGAAAGGCACCAGGTCAACAGCAGGTCTGAGCTTTTTCTGTTCAGAAGGAACAGCAGAGAAGGAAAAATTAAAACAGAGGGGGGGGAAAAAGCCTTATCAAGTTTATACAAGCATTTGCTTACTGACCATGAGCATTTATTAACTCAGATAACACAGCAATGCAAATAGGAGTCCAAGTCCCTGAGTCATGTTTGTCACCTCCCTGTAAACCTGTTGAGCACCGCAGCCCAGCTCTGGGGAATGTGATGCCACTTGTGGTTCTACACTTTCTTTTTTGTTGTTTTCTTCACACTTCGCTGAAGCCCTTTCCCCACATCCCTTCTCCACAGCAATGCACCAAGACCCTCATAACCAGAGTCACCACCTGAGAAGGAACGTGCAGGGAGGGCACAGCTGATCTTCCTCCTCTTAGTGGCCACAGAGCCATGAGAATATAGAAAGGGGTGGAGAGGAACAAAGAAAACCAGGAGACACACAGGTAGTAAGAGCCAGTTACCAAAAAAATAAGGTCTTTTCTAATCATATAAGTTACCCTTGGAAATAAACATAATAATAAACCACAAAAACATTTCTGGCTTTGGCCTTTCTTATGCTCCACTAAAATTTGTTATTACCAATGGTAGCAGCTGTGAAAGAGCTATGGCAAAAAGAGCTTTGGACATCTTGGTCTGGGCAGGACAAAGGCAAGAAGGGCTCCAGCAGGACTAACGTGGCTGGGGGGACACTCGGATGATATTCAATGTCAACAGGCACTTCCTTACTACAGCAAGGAACGATGGGTGAACAGCAAGAACATCAGTTCCTTGGAGTTCAGTTGCAGCAAGGACCTATGCAACGTATCAAGTATGGAAAGCCAGATGAGAAGGCTATGGTGAGTTAGCAGGAACCTCTGGATGATACCGAGTGACTTTTTGCTAATGGCATTCTGATCTTCTTGGCAGCCTGAGGGGACCTTTCACAGCTTCAGCTCGGAAAGCTGCAGCACAGGGACACAATACGTGGTAATGACAGACAGGATCTGCAGAACACAATAATGTACAAACCACCTACCAAGGGCCACCAGAAAGTGCTTAGTCTTTCCCGTACCTCTAAATTACATAGGCCACAAGGAGACCACCGGACAGCAACAGCTCTTTGACCCCACCGGGAGCTGGGACAGTCGTAATGCAAGGCTAAAGTGACCCACATCTGAGGACTCCGAGGGGAAACTGGAGGATCTACCCTTCTGCCTCCGAGCTCTTCCAAACACAAACGGGGAGGGGGGGGGGGCAAATCAAAGCACACAGTTTTCTAAGGCCACCCAAAATGAGGCTTGGCCAGCTTTAACTCTCATCCCTACCAAAACCAACGGTGTAAACGCTCCAGTCCCAGTGTGACCCTGGAACCAGGTTCTCTGCAGGGTGAAGGTTGCAGCTGGAGCTCACTTACCGCTTTCCGCTTGAGGATGCAGTCCAGCCGCCAGCGATTCCCTTCCACAACGGGGCGTTTCATGAAGATTTCAGGGCTCAGCCTAAGAATATAAAGGGGTGGAAAAAACACAGCGTATGTAGTCTGCAAACAAAGCATTGGCCTAAATAATCAACTCGGGAAGCAATGAAATCAAAGTTTTTATAAAGTGGATGTGAAGGCTCACATCCCAGAGCGATGCGTTCTCCAACGTCATGCTCTTTTGTTTTTTTAATAACAGAGCTTTACAGAGGGCAGGGGATGTGTCCCGCACATTCATCTCTGTATTCAACAACCCACGAGACCAAGTTGAACAGTGATGTATAAATGGGGAAACTTGGACTCTATCTATGAAAGAAAGATGCAACAAAAGAACATCCCAAAGTAGATTTGAAAGAAATGTGAAGACATAAAAATAAATAAGAGTGGGATTTCAGTTCTCCTGGCACTTAGGCTATCTGAGTAGCATAGATTTGCGCTGAATTTTCCTTGCTGCCTAAAGACAAAGCAATATGATCTCTCACCAGGATATTTTATTGATTCATAGCTTTAAGCATTACAAGGAATAATTAAGCAGTCTCATCTAACTCCTGCAAAGGAGGGTGACAGAATTTTATTCCTTTTTTTTTTTTTGTACTGGGCATGGCAACTTGTGCTTGATTGAAGCATATTGCTACATCGTAAAAACATGCTTCTGACAACAGCATTTTCATTTGAAACTTGGCGTTTAAGGTAAATTTTGCAATTCCAAGATACATTAACAATTGTCTGAATATAATATTAAGAGACAACAGGGCTGAAATGCGATGCTCTTGCATTGCTACCTGATGTTGCACGTGGGGATCCAGGAGGACTGGGTTTACCTGTGGTCATGTTAGGAAACAGGTTTACCCCAGTAAATGTTAACATTGTGTTTAGTTTTCTCATAATTGCCACCTAAGAACTAATCCTCCCCGTTCCTATGGGCAGTGAATTAGTAGCAAGAGGTTCCTTTTACAGATGGAGAAAGAGGAGCACAGAAACATGCCCAAGGTTAAAGAGGACACCTCAGCCGCGTCTTGGGAGCCTGCCCTACCATCCCATCCCCAAAGTCCACACTGGCTCAGCCAGATTAACCTCCACAAAGGCAAGACATGGGCAACCGCAACCGGCATCCAGCCAAGAAACTCTGCCCCGAGTCTGTGTGAACACCCTTCTTCTGCCTCAAACAGGAACCAGAGCGGTGCGTGAACATACTGAATTACTATTTAAGAAGTGGGCAGAGCCAGGTCCTTCGGCAGCCACACAGTTCAAGGAAGGGATGACAAAACTCCCCTTCCATTGTCTGGCCCATTTAAGAGCAGAGCAAAACCACCACCACCCCCCCAAGACGTTCTCATCATTGGCATGAGGCTTCCCAAAACACTGAGAAGGAGGTGAAAGGAGGGTCCCATGGAGGATCACATGGGAAGAGCACTGTCGGAGGGGTTTGAGTGTCCGCATTCCCTTACACACTGAGAAACACTCTTGTCCCTTGGCTTTGCAGTGATTTACACTCCTGATGAGCACCTCAAGCCATAACATTTGCAATTCAGGTGGTGCCCTCACGCAATTTCAGGCCTTTCCTTGGAAGGAGACAACCAGGCTGTTGATTTCAAGCATGCGCTTTTGCTGCCAACCCTCCTGAAAAGGCCTTTGAATACAACACAAGGAGATGTTTGGGTGTGCTGCCAAACCATCTGGCCACGCGGCTAGTTGCCATACTGTAGGGCCTCCAAACAGTGCCGCATTGTCGGGAATGTCCCAAGAGAGACGGCTGGTCAACATCCAAACATGGAAGTACTAACCACCAATCTGTGATGAAAATTTCTTCCTTAGCAGCTTCCATGGCATTTGCGACATCTTCAAAGTACGACTTAGCATTTACATACCTGTAAAAGCAAACACAGCACAAAGATCTCGGTTTCCTCCACCTTCATTAAACAAAGTCCACAGCCGAAAACTGACAGGGTTCTGTGTTAATGCCATTTACATTCTTTTCTCAAAAGCAAACACAAACCTATTTTCAAGAATTAGGACAACACGTAGGGAGAATGTCACGCTGCTATTAGTAGCTTAATGAAACAGCACAATAAGAGATTATTAAGTGCCACTTAGTACTTCTGCCAACCATACACAATATTCCTGGGCTTTGCTTGATGTGCGAGCTAGTTTTGGCTCTCAGGAAAGGATGGCGGAGTGGTGTTTGCTTTGACTTATGGAAACTATTTGGGCAGCGGCTGCTGCAAGGCAGAAGCTGTAGTGAGAGCACTGCAAGGGTTTGCTTCCAGCTCGAGTCAATTTTTTGAGGTGCTTCTGAGAATGGCTTAGTGCAATCAGGTTATAGTTATGGACAGGAGGATTTCTTGTGGGACTGTTGTGTGCACAAGGCCCAGTCACCCTTAGACTATACCCAAATTTGCATTTGCCGATTCTCTTTCATTGCAAAGCCGATCTGCAAGGCCTGAATCTGATGCTGCTCTTCAACCAGATGAGTGACATTTGCATCTCAACATGTCCATGGTGCCTGGAAGGGCAATGCTGCCTTACAGAATAAGAATCAGCCTTGGAAATGTGGTGAGCAGGACACATCTCGCATTTCAGAACATGAAGGACATGACCACACCATCGGTGGGTCACAGACGAGCATGGGCAGGACAGGCTGCAGCAGCGCTGCTTTGGGAGACAGCTATGGAGAAGAGAGCAGCCAAAGAGGCAGATGTTTTCAATAGCACCTGTGTTACCGTGGGCTTACAAGCTGGAGCCCAAAGGCCTAAACCCTTAGGAAACAGCGTTTCCAGAATCAGAAACTGGGAAAAAATTGAATTCAGGAATATCTTGACGAAAGAGCAGTTCTGGTTTTAACTCGTAAGCATCCTGCCAATTACACGTGCATCAAAACACCCTTTTTATCACCACAATAATAAATACCCAACGTGTTCAAATTCAGATGAAACTCAATGTTTCAAAACACCATTAGCTGTGATGCAAAGCCCTAACAGCATCAAAGCACCCCTGTCACCAGTACTGTTACTCTCTTTCCGGTGAAGAAAGCCTCATTTTTTCCAACTTCTCTAATTATCATCAGTCCCTACAGCTACCGAACGCCACCAGCTCTATCCCCCAGACCCGGGGCTATTGCAGGCAGGCATGTGCTGCTCCTGCTGTGGGTAACCCAAGGCCCATGGGCGATATGGTCACAGCCTCGCCGCGGTCCTCACCACTTGGCCAGCGTGTTCTCCTGCACGGCTGCATATGAGCCGAAGCGATGCTCCGTGAGGAAGTCCTTGCCGTGTTTCCGAATGAACTCGTCTATGCCCTGCCTCCACCACTGGGCATGTCTGTAGCTGTTACACTTCAAAATCAGCGACCTGTAAAACAGACAGTGTGTGGGGCAGGACGCTGAAGCCACGTACACTTAATTGGGCTGCTCCTCGCTGTCTACACATGTTGATAAATGCACCTATTTTATTTAAGCACGAAGTAAGGAACAGCAAGGGTCTTTGCTGTTTTGTTTGCAGAAGAATAAATCAGCACTGAACTGATCTGAGTGACTATCACAGTATTGCTCTGCCAAGCATGAAAAAATATCCCAGATTTAAATGAACAGCACCAGCTCAACTTGGAAGAGAGCTGTACCCAGATAATTCTCTATTTTTTTTTAAAATGAATTTATACTACTATAAAAATATTAAATGCCTCTTTATCCCACCTAGCATGTCTTTTGGGTAATACTCTGGTCGGGATGCAGAGGAACGTGTCCCTGCTTGCAGCACAGAGGATGAGAGCGCCTACAAAATTACCGTAAGCAACTGCTGCAAAAACAGACCGTGCGACTGGACCGTGCACCGTGCCCCCAGGCCCGAGCAATAACCACAAGGATGGACAAACAGCAGCTGAGGCTCCAAATGCCTCATTAAGACATCGGAAATAATCAGCGTTACAGGCCAAATCCCCAGCAGGTATAAACGCCCCAGAAGCTGCCCAGAGCTGAGCTCCAGCGCCTTGTTAACCCCTGCCAGGACACAGCATCCATGCATCCACTCTTCCTTAAAAAAGCAAAAGCAAAGGAAAAAAAAAAAATCTAAACAAAGAACGTATTTCTTACCTAGAGAGATTGTCGATCTGCAACCCGTATTTCGTTTCTGTTTCTTTCCGGCCTATCTTAATGTTGAATTCCTTATCTACCAGCAGGACAAAGGCGATGGCCCCCGAGTCTGGCTTCATGTACAGCAGGAAAGAGTCCTTCACCACCAGCCACCTGTGCGGGCACAGCAACCAGGTAACTTGTATTTCACACATCCTGGTTTTCAAAACATGAGCCATAAAAAAAGCTAATAAAATGCAAAAGTGCTTCCTTTGTCAGTGAAAGGAAAGCGTTCAACTAAAAGGCAAAATTTCTTTTTAGGGGGATGGTCCAGAGTAGGGTTTTCCCGAGCAGAAAAGCGCCTATTCTATGAACTTGGGTAATAAGTTTGAATTCAATACAAGATACTTGTATTCAATACAAGAGTTTGAATTCAATACAAGAGTTATTTGCACGACTTCTTTTTACACAAGCCTTTGAACACAGGTTTTCACGTCTAATGCAATCAATGAGAACCTCCCAGCCAGGTGCCCCAGCACCAGGCAAGGTACAACAAGGATTCCTCCACCCCAGATTTTTCTTCAGCCTGTATGCTACACCTAGAGGCAATAAGGGAGTTACTTGACATTTCTAACATTAATTATGACGCTAGGATCATTTTCACTCCTAGCAAAATATATGAACAAGGCATTTTGGAAAGCTTTTATTGCCAAGCAACAGGCACCCTGTTAGAAACACATGATGAGAGATGACCGGCAGGTTTTACATAAATACCGTAGCCTGAAGGCAACTCTGGGGAAAAAAAAAACACCACATTTTTTCACTGTGAATGGCATTTCTAATTTTTTCTCCCCCTGCAGCGTAGCTGGGGTAACCGGCCCCCTCTGTCCCACACAGGTCTCCGCCACCAGACCTTCGCCTCATTCTTCTGCACACTCAGAAACACATAAAGCAACAGAAAATACTGCAATAATCTGTTCATTCTTGTATCTTTAGTAACAGCCTCGGCTCCTCATCTACTTCCAGATCCCATTGTTGTTTTTTTTCTTTTCTTTCAGGGCCCTGAAAGAGTTATATACCAGCATCATCCCTCATTTAGTGCCCAAATACTTCACCTCATCATTTGCCCCATAATTTCACCCCCAAACATCCTCCAAAAAGTACATTTCCAAGCATTCCCCTTTCTCGTTTTCCCAGGCAGTTCTCCATGCCTGAGAAGTCCTGCCCGTGCCTGTCCACAGCATCACCCCACTGTCCTCCTGCGTGTCCCTTTCCACAGCTCCCGTGGCCATGACACACCCAACCTCCTATGATAAGTGAAATTAATTTGGGGTATGAAATCCCAACGCCTACACCAAAGCTGTTGTGGGCAAATGACAGCCGCAGTCTCCCCATGCTTGGGTGGAGCCTTGCCCCCAGGCTGACGTGTCCTGAAGTTCTTCACTGAAATAACCCTCTCTGGGAAATATTACTGTTAATTGCTTATTTATTGATGCACCCGCTGCCAGTCCCGGCAGGCCGTGGCAGGGATTCGGTGCCCTCTGGTGTTACTCTGCACACAATCCCACTCAAACACGTCTCCCATCTCCTTTTTAGGCTCTAAAGGAAAATCAAGATCCATCAGAGCTGAATGTTCTACTGTCCCCATTAAAGCTTGAGCTCTGCATAACTTAGGGAAGAGTTAACTGAGGGGCACTGAGAGGAAAAGACATCTTTTTTTTTTTTTCCATAGAACAAAAACAAGAACTGAAGACAATTTAATGATTTGACCTGGAAGGAGGTCACATCTTCATTGCCTTGTGCACTCATTATAGAGATCTTCTGTAAAATTACATTAAGAAATGTTGGAAAGACTATGAAGAAATAGGACCTTTTCTTCACAAGTATGCAGAAAGACTTTGTTGGAAAACAGAATTTTTTAAGATAAACTAATAACTGCCCATTGGCGATGCTAAAATCCAAAGGCGGATAATACTTGGGGAAGCTCTTACAGACCAAGAAATTGTTGCTAGAAGGCAGATACGTGCTACTTGGATTTTCAAAAGGAAAGATTTGCCTGGAAAGGGCAAGATCCAGGGAATACCCCTTGCATTTTTTGGATGCCAGCTGATAACACAGGTACTCTTCCATAGCACCCCCCTCCCTGCGCTGCAGCCCTGGATACACCGGGATCGACCACTGAAGGTAAAGGGATGAGGACAGTAAGTCACACCAGTCTGCAGCGGGAAGGGACATGGGAATGGGGTGGCTTGTGAAAACTCCCATGAAAACACCGGCATTTAAACACGTGCAGTAATAAGGAAGAGGCAACATATTTAATTCCAAGGTTAATCGCACCAAACAGAGCTCCTTACTGCTGCAGGTCACGTCTGATTTCATCCAGCTCCAAAGCAGCCCAGATAGTGTTATCAATTAATCAATTTTCTTTTTGCAAATTGAGGAATGGAAGCTCAGAAAACCAGGCTGAAGTCTGGCCGGGGCAGTGTCACCAGCCATGTCCCCTCCCAAAGGCACGGAGCCCCCGGGTGCTCCCGCAGCAGGAAAAGCTGGGTACAGACCAGGGGATTATTGCCATTTCTGCCAGCTCGGGGCTGTGTGAAATATCGATTTTCCTCTGGAGCAATACGTCCCTTCTACAGACTGCAAAGCAGAAGAAAAAAACCCACCATCCTCCACACAGGTGGGTGAGGGGGGAATAGCTTATGGACCCTTTATGACCTGCAAATCTGTGGCTTTTGTAAAAACAAGCAAGAATCTCCCTCTCAGAATTTTGGGGAGGAAAAAAAAACAAATGAGGATTTTCTCATGTGTGCCCCAGGAGCCCACAGCATCGCCACCTTCGCCCGTCCCAGCAGTACCTTTTGGACCATCGGTAGCACATCCTTCCTTGGCCGCAGCAGTTCAGGCCAGGTATGCGGTGGCCCCCGGAGCGCTTCATGATCAACCCTTCTCTGCAAGGACAGAAAGACGGTCAGGACGGGTGGCACGGCTCACCTGGAGGTGCAGGGGGAGCTCTCGGGTGGAGGACGCTCGCTGAACCCCCCAGCCCCTGTACCCAGGGATGGCTCCTGCCACCGCCAGCCGTGCCTGAGCAGCCTCTGCGCCACTGCCCTGGAAGCTGGAAGAAGGGCAAAAATAACCCCGCAGAAGGAAATCGAGCAGATTTAGGAAATGCAAGGCCCTGTTTTATAGCACAAACAGGAGAAGCAGCGTGTTGAAAGGTTGTGGGGAGGGAAGGGGAGAAACCTGATGAGCCAGCTGATGGGCTGCAGACCGCATCTCGCAGAGCAGACCGCTCCTAAGGCCATTTCCCAAAGCTGTAGCATTTCTGTCTGAACATTAATACATTCTTACAGCCAGATGGCAATATCCTCTCCGGTTATTGGCGAGAAAGGAAAGCTATCAATTTGAACAATATTTATAAAGCCATGCTCTTGGTGAACCACAACTCACAAAGCCACAGCTCACAACTCACATGCCCTTCGGTCCCAGGTCATGGATGAATGACAGCTGGCTTACTCCAATGAACTCCATCTGGGGAAAGAAAAAAAGATTGCCTCTTCTTTCGTACTCTGAAATCCAGAAAATGCTTTGCTTCATTGAAGCAACTTGTCATTAAGACAGAACCTACAGAAGATCCTGAGCGGAAGTTACCCACCATCACTTCAGCATCTTCAAGAAGGCCAAAAAAAAGTAGTTTGCTTGGGCTTTTTGTTCTTTTCCTTGTTTGTTTATTTTAAATGTGCTTTGATGAACACATTTCAGGCAACCAGGGCAATCAAGATCAAATGTATTATAGGGACCCACCGGTATCCTCCCTCCTGGAGGACTGGCTGAAACGAGGACTTAAGTTTGACAGTTTGGAGGTCTGTGTGAACTTGGCTGGCCGCCTGAATCCTCTCTCTCCTCCAGTGACCCTCACAGAAAGGGAATGAGCACATGTCCCCAGGGCTGGGAGCGCCCTGTTCCCTTTGAGACTCCTACCCTATGGACACACACCACATGGGGGTTCAGCCCCATAACCCACAAGCATCCTCCATCACAGCAGGTCGCTCCCACTCGGCTCTGCACACACCCCTGCCCCACATCTACTGCCCCGTCTTGACCCTGGGAGCCAAAAATCCGCAGAAAAGCCACAGTGGGGCAGAAGAAGAGTAAGACCAAGCCCAGTCTCCATCATTTCTGCCGGTCAGCATGCAGCAGGGTCGGCCCTGATGGAGCCCCGTGGCAGGCGCAGGCGGGGAAATCCACACGCCGTCCTATCAAGTTTACCAGCAAATCTCAAATTCAAGCAACGTGCCTCCTCGCAGCTCCTCCTGCTTCAGCAGAGATTGCAGAGGAACGTAACAACAAGCAAAGCCGGTGAGAAAGCACAGCATGATTACGTTCACCTCTAAAAATAGGACACCAGGCGATTTCAGCCGAGCAGGCTTTTCTTGGCACAGCGGGACATTCCTGACAGTCTGCTGGTTACGAGCCCTGGGCCCCATCAGCAGGGAGAAACGCTTGCCCCGGGCATCCTGTGCAGGACAGGTCTCGGGCAGGAGCAGCTCTGTGGAGGAGCTGCCTTGCACGGTGGAGACTTGTGGGCACCCATGAACTTTTAACTCATTATTGCCTAAAATTGTCCAAGCGCAGAAAGGTTCTCAGGGCAGGGTGAGGGCAGGAGCTGCCTCCAGAGCTACCGGAGGGAACCCTCTAACCACATGTTTCAGCAATGAAGCCTGCTGGGACCAAAGCCCAGGACTCAACCTATGTTCTCAACCATGGTCGGGACATGGGACAGCCTCGGGGCTGGCTTCAGGCCATGCCCACCCGTGCCCCACAGCAGCTCAGGTACCAGCACCCAAGGAAAGGCTCTCCTCCAAGGTGGCCGCTGTCACCTGCTTTTTGGCAAACCAACCTCAGGGCCCTCATTGGCAAAATATGATTTTGCATAGGAATTACACGGGTGGGCCCATAAGTCTCAGAGATATTTTCAAACACTAAGAATAACAAAGGGTATCAGTAAATTTGGGGCAAAAATCTACCTTGCAGTTACGGTGAGGCGGGCTCAGGCTCCCTTCCCAACACCGTGATTTTTGCCCCACAGCCACGGCAGCAGGACAGAAGACCCTTCCTCTTCCTCACGCTCTGCTGCTCCGTCCCAAACTTTGCACACCAATAAAGTCATGAAGAAGAACAAAGGATCTGTTGTTCTTCCCCGAGTAGCTCAAGGACATAAAGCAATCTCTATTCAGTAGAGGCAAATTTAATGCCCTCCTTTTTGGGTGATTTAGCCCGTTTTCAGAAAGTGGCTAGAACAAGTTATTCCATGCTTTTACTAACCATCTTGCTATCCCCTCTCTTCCTACGCAATCTGGAAATGCACCTACAGCTGTTCCAGGTGTTTCTGCAGTGACTCTCGGAGTGGGATGGGGAGAACCTGACAACTCAGTGTGTCCTACAAGCTCTTGTCAGAGATCCTGAGCGAAGTCTCAGGTCGGTCCTTTGCCCTGGGTCCCATTTTGATTTCCTTCAGAAAACGGCTGGCGTTCCCCATCAGGCGAAGCAGAAACCCAGATGTCACTCTCACAGTGGGCGCACAAAAGAAAAAAAACCCGCACACGAATGCCAAAACTTTTTGAAAACGTTGGCTGCAACCAGAAAGCCCGGCAGCAATTTGAGGAGCACTGCACGCAGAGAAATAATGGTCCTCAAAGAAGCAAAAAGAAAAACCAGGAGGAAAAATTACTGGCAGAAACAGAGCTCCTACTACATAAAAATGAAAGGAAGGTTGTCTGGCAGTGCAGCAACCTGCTCTTCAGCCAAGGAGTCTTTGAAATGGCAACGACAGTGACAGGACCCCATCCAACATGTTGATCAAGCAGTGCCAATTAGGAGTGTTGTTTTTTTTATAAAACAAGCGAAAAAAAAAAAAACAAAAAACAAACCCATAAATAAATTCCAGCAGTTAGAAGGCAAATTCCTCAGTGCAGTGGAAAATAACGGATGGAATGATTTATTGTTATTATTATTGCTGCATTAGCTATTTTTACGGTTACAGTGCCCTTCATCCGAGGTACTCATCATCCACAGAAAAAGCGAGAGGGAAAGGCAGAGCAACGAGATGCTTTCATCTCCTTCACATCTGAATTCCTGCGCTGCCCAGCTGCCTCCCCAGGGAGCCGGCATCCCGCTCCGGTTTCAGAGCAATCCGCAGCAGAATATTTTAAGTATGAGATACAGGCCTAGAGAATGCAGTTTCAATGACATTGTTGTAGCAATAAAAAGAAAAAATAAAATAAAAAAAAAATAAAACAAACCCAAACCAGACGGGAGTGACCAGCTGTGGAAAGACAAGCTACGGAAGGTGGAGAACCAGCTGCAAGGTGCACGAGCCACAGTTTTAAGCCATCCTGTTCCGCCAGCGATGTGGAGCAAGCATGATTTATGCAAGCAAAAATTTCACAGAGCATCTGCATTTCAGAAAGAATTCAGCAGCTCCACGCTGTGTTTTCGTTTTGACGCTTGCTTTTAATTTAGTGGGTTAAAAAAAACCCGCTCATAGAGTTGATCAGCAGCTGTGGCTAGCAATAAAACGAAATTACACCACTCTTCAGAATAATATGGTTCAGCAAAAGACGCCAGCTATTTCTTACAACACAAAATTGGCGTATACTGAACCCAAATGAAAAAAAAAAAAAATTCAACATGCTAAAGTTCAAGTGCAATAACTAAGAATACTGCAGGGTTGGGTGGGGACCCTTGCAATGCTCTGCAGATCCAAGTGCCGTATCAGAGGCAAACCCGCAGCCACTCTCACATAACTGAGTTGTTCTTATGTTGTACTGCGTTCACTTAAGATGAGGGTTTTACACTCACTCACTAAAGCTCATGCAGATTGCTACAGACACAGGCTCTCCGGTTCAACCAAATCTTATTTTTTATTTGGCTCACGCATCTTCCAACTATTGCAGCTCATACCAAAAAAAATTGTGCGAAGGCCTAATTAAAAAAAATATTATACAGAATACAATCGAGCCCACGGGCCCCGTTTCCTAATGGTTTGGGCCTATATTCCCCCAATTTTCATTTCCCAGAAAAAAAGCATGGATAATTAACACACTGAGATTCCCACAACATTCATTTTAATGGTAATTGTCTCGAAGCACTTCAGCCCAGAAGTACTATAAATAGGTTTTGGAACACACTGGAAGATGTGAGATTTAATCACAATCCACATAGCCAAAAGGGAAAAAAAAAATAATGAAAGGCTACAAAGTCCGGGGTCTGAGCACAAAGTACAAGCATCGACCAACCTATTTGTGAACCCCACACAAAATGCTCTGTTACGATGAATGCTGAGAAATTAAGGGAAATGCGAGAAGGTTGCAAATTTTATCAGTCAGAGCTACCCCAAGTCAAAGCAAGGGACACTTGGTACATCTCTAAATGATGATGCTTCAGTAGATTCTATTTCCACAGCCTGCAGGAGCATCACCTAGAAAGGCTAGAGGATGTGCAACCTCTACATTGCCATGTGGTCACCGTCATCCTCAACCCACCAGGGACTTCAGGTTTGCAAAACCGCTACCAGCTCGACTTGCAGGCTTGACTCTCCCAGTGCCTGGCACGTCCTCGAGACAGTGTATAAAGTGGTGATCCTCTCACTGACAAATAATAAATTAACCACAAATGCAAAATAAAAGTAGTAAAAAAAGCAAATTAATTAAATTGTGCAGGTCAGCCAGATGTAAAAACATCTCCAAGGAGATGCGACTGACCCAAGCAGGCTCTTCACAAGGACCAAGGGTTACACATCAGGCAGGTCGCAGTTTGCCATTGCAACTCCATGTCCGACTTTACAAAGAATTTAGGATTTTAAAAAACACCTTGGTGTGCGGATTTGATGAGAGGAACACACAGGAGTCAAAACATGCTCCAAGATTAAGGCAGTTACAGCATTTGTCAGCATCCCGGCAAAAGACACCTCAACCACAGGAAGAGCAAAGCCCTCATTTTGTTCCAAGGAGGAGAAATACAGGTCGAAGGAAAATGCCAGAAATCTTCACTTTAGTCTCTAGTGTGAGAATCATGGGGGTTGTTTTAAAGGAAACATTTTTCTCCCCAATGCTTTCTTCTGGCATCGTCTGCAGGACCCGCTGCACTTAGCGGCGCCGCCACCACTAGCAGTCCTCACTGAACGCGGCCAAATCCAGCGAAAGCCAACAATAAACTGAGAATTTATGTGCAAAGTGACATCTGGCTCCAGGGGCCGGGGACAGAAGGGCGATTCAGCGCAGGAGGAGGGGAGCACCCCACAGCTGCCCGGACAAGGCAGGACCGCTCGTCTCCTCGCTCGGCCCCCACTGCGGCAGCCCGCCTAGAACCACAGCCTGGTCAAAAGATCATCCACGTTCTAACATGAGCAGAAATTCTCCAAAATATTTGAAAGAAAAGCAACGCCTGCCTAAGAGTGACAAGACGGAACGGCACTGTAAAATAACTCTCCCCCGCTTTGCATATGCTACTGATCAAAATTGCCAAGTTATCCCAGTCTTGCCTTTGGAATAAAAGAGAATCATAGAATGGTTAAAGCTGGAAGGGACCTTAAAGATCATCTCGTTCCACCCCCCCTGCCCTGGGCAGGGACACCTCCCACCAGCCCAGGTTGCTCCAAGCCCTGTCCAACCTGGCCTTGAACACCTCCAGGGATGGGGCAGCCACAGCTTCTCGGGGCAACCTGCCCCAGGGGCTCACCACCCGCACAGTAAAGAATTTCTTCCTAATATCTATTCTAAATCTCCCCTCTTCCCGTTTGAAGCCATTCCCCCTTGTCCTATCACTACATGCCCTTGCTAAAAGTCCCTCTCCACCTTCTCTGTAGGCCCTCTTTAGGTACTGGAAGGGGCTATAAGGTTTCCCCAGAGCCTTCTCTTCTCCAGACTGAACAATCTGCCCTCTTATCATTTTCCACATGCAGACTAACACAGCTCTTGACTGTGATGGACTCAAGCTCCACATCCCGTCACCAAGAGAAGCACTCTAAGAAACACAGGTCCTCTCAGCCCAGATGTGAAGACTTCTTGCAACCCAAAGCACGCTGGCCAACGCTGGATGAGCACTTCGTCCCATGTAACAAGCAGGGCTCAACGCACCACGCTCTGCAACAAGAGCACACACTACTTTCGAGCATGACATCCAGCTATGAGCTGCCCAACACCTCTACGCAACTGAAATCCCGCAAGAGCGGAATTCCTACAAAACAACAAGAAAAGCTGAAGAGAGGAACTGGCTGCTACAGACACCCTAAGTTTAGTCTACATTTCTGGCTTGTTTGAAAACCAAGCGTTCCCAGTGATCAGCCCTTGCTCAGAAATGTCGCTAAGCTCCGCAGCTACTCAATGTATGCGTCAGGGTTTGCTGGTAACACAAAAGACAGAGTAACACTGTCATTATGCAGCCGAGAAAAGGGGAAATAAATTACCATCCCAGGGAGATGTTACAGCTGCGGCTGACAGGTGAGGACTACTGAAGAGACATTTGACGATGGCTTTCAAAGGAAATCTTTTTGCTTAAAATAGGTCTGAAGTTGGATTTGACATCTCTCCTCGTTTCAAAAAGAGTATCGACTTGGGGAAATAAGCTGATTACCATCTCTCTTTAGAAGTGACAAAATACTGGCAGAGGCGAATGGGTACCACTCATACAAACTCAGCATCACCAAAGTCCAGTGAAATTGCCCAGAATGGGAACCTGAGACAAATTCACACCCAGGACCACACGCAAAGCCCAGACTGAACGGGTATGGTTTGGAGTCCAATTGTTTATTTAAAACTTCTCCTTATCGTCTTAAACACTCCCCAGAATTAAACAGAAACACACTACATCATACATGTACAATCAGCTTTCCGGACCAGACTACCTTGAGGAGGTTATTACTGTGTTAAAATAGCGACCTCCAAGAGTGAGCCACTCTCTTTTCTTTGGCTTTAATCATATTACATCCACGTTGGAGAAATCAGCTAAGCCAAAGCACTTGCCAAATGGCTGTAAAATGCTTCTTATACAAGCTGAATGTCTTTTTTCCAGTAAATTCAACACTTGTAAAACAAATATTCTTTAGGCATTTAAGCAAACTAATTTCTACTTACTGTTCCATGGTAGTTCCTGTACATCGGCATTTTTAGGATCTTTGTCAAGTAGTCTTCCAGCTGTTTCTACAATTAAAACATCGAAACTTTAGGTAAGTTGTGGGAATTTTTAAGAAAAAAAAACAAACCACCACACCATGATCCAGCTGTCTGGCATTAGGAAGCAACCAAGAAATCAGACACGCTTTTCAGCTTGAATGGATAAATAAATACATTATTATGTGCTCACAGAAGATTATAGCTCAGCAGCACACACAGTTTGATCCCAGGTTGTTTACTGTGCACAGATCCGTGCTTGTACCTTCCAGCAGCTGACCTGCTCCTTGGCACTGTCATTTTAGAGGTCAACTTTCTTGACTGAGCCCAAGTTTCAGAACAATTTTAAATACAAGAAATCAGGCCCCACTCTTTCCGACCAGCATGAATTAGCTTTGTGAGAAAACACAGCCTCGGATGCAACCGATAGAGCCTATTTAACCAAAACACCAGGTTCATGGGGTGAGGAGCATGGGGACCATGCTGCCCTGTCCCAAAGCCACAGAGAAGGCAGTGGCCAGGCCACCAGTTGCTGGAGACCCTGTCCTCCCCTGCCAGGAGGGGAGAAGAGAAGAAACCATCACAGGAGAGAGAATCTCTTTGCACCCTCATGGTAACTGGGCAAGTAAGAGATTAAGCTGTTTGGGCACAGGACACTGGGCAGTGTCCTACAGGACACAAAACAAACGGAAAAGAAACAAATGCCATTGGGATGTTCATCCTTCTCAGCATCAGCATCACAGCACTGAGCTACCCAGGGGGGCAGTGGGGGTAATGCATCACTGATGGTGAAAGCCGTGGGATTCCCACAAGGAAACCAATGGGGAAAAAAAAAAAAAAAGTCATGGGGGCAGATCTAGAAAACATTTTTCTTCCTCTTTTAAACCAACATCTCTTTCCTGAAACTTCCCACACAGCAGCAAAGCCGTGCACAGCAAGGAGCGTTATCTGCACTGCACAGCCATGAGACACAACCTTTTGGGGACTTGAGGCTACAGCAGCAGAAAGTCCAGGGAGGGAGTGAACAGCAGAAAGAACGATAAGCACATGGTGAACAAACACGGGGTTTTTTTTACAGACTCTTGGGTTTTGGTGGTTTGTTTTTTTATTTTTTGCAAACAGTGAAGCTGCAATGAAGAGGTAGGAAGACATCCACCCTCTTCATAGAAGGGCCCATCTGTTAACATCTGATGAAGTTACACAGAACACGTGTGCCTCGGCTAAAATTACCCATTCCAGCATCAAGAGCCTGACTGTCATCTCCTCTTTCAGAGGAGGACAGGACTGAAATCTCTCAGATTTTGATGGCCGCGGGGCTGCCTCCATCACGCAACTTGACTCTGCAAACTGCCTCTTCTATCTTTAAATCGCAGCAGGTGGGAGGAGGGGAACCGCCGCTCTGGGCATCATGGTTTTCCTCAGCTGCAGTGAAGAACTTTGCCTGCATGAATCCCAGGAGCAGCATCCTCCTCTTTGCGTGGAGGAGAATTTGGCAGTAAAGCTGGACTTGCCAAAGCCGAAGTTTGACAAAGAAAAGACTTTACTGGTAATAAAATAAGGGCTTTGACAGCACGTGGATTTGCAAGCAACCTGCCTGGCATCTCTGCACCTCAGAAGCCCCCCCAAGAGCATCCCTCTGGCCCCCGCAGAGCGAGCCGGGCGCTTACCCTCCTGCTGGAGAAGTGCTCTTCCCGCACTGTGCTCTCTGCAGTGTGCGGCAGACTCGGCATCTGCCTCGGCTCTCCCCTTTTGATGGATTGTCTCCTCACCGTGTGACTGGAAGGAAAAACAAACCCCAACGTCGAGTCTAAGTGCTGCGAGTGAGTGCATACCTCGATACGTAACCCTTCTTCTGCAATGCTTTTATTTTTCCCCATCCAAACTCTTAAAGAGAGGTGGGTGGGCAGGAAAGCCAATAAAAAAAAATAAAATAAAATAAAAGGAAGTGTGGATTCATTTAAAAGAACCCAGTGTGCTCCAACTGGCTCACAAACAAAAATACAACACAGAAACATCAGAGTTTGATTTTTCAGGGTGTCCTTTTACCCTTTTAAGGAAAGAGAGCCTTAAACCCTATTTTCAGGGCATTATGTTCCCCTAGCCCTTGACCCCTCATAATTTCTCCTTTCCCTGTATCTTCTCTCCACATTTCCCCACAGCAGGATGCTCTTGCCGACCCACACCATGTCTCTTCCCATGGCTCCTCATACACTTCCAGCCCTGGAGCACCAAGGCCAGTCCAGGCAGGGCTGATCATACATCCCAGAGACCCCCACGCCTCCCACACCCAGTCCATGCCAGCAGAAAGCCACATAGCACCAACAATTTCCATTAGCATAACCCTTCCCCACGTTCAAATTCAGCTCAAAAGCCGATGACCTGGGACCCAACGTGCTTTCTGGGTCCGCAGAGAGATGCTTCCGCCATGTAGGCTATAGCTGCTAAACACACAGAGATTAAGTATTTTTATTACAGCTGCTAAATATTTGTAGGGACTAAATTCTTCTGCCCTCTCCTCCTTACAGCAAAGCAAATGGGATTGGTGAAGCCAAACCAATATGATACTAAAAGAGAAAAGAAGATCACATCTTGCCAAAGCCCATCGCATCCGCACGGTTGCGCACTCACCTCCTGGTAGGGATAGGGATGCGCACGAAGGCTTTGTACCTCAGCAGCTCCCTGTGGAACTCTTGGAAGTGCTTGAACTTCCTTTTCACCTGCCAGGTGAACTCTCCATGGGTCAGCTCGATGGTGTAAACATTGGGGCTTGGTACCTGCATAGGAGAACACCGCCACGAGGGCTGCAGCTTTGGTACAGGTCATTTTCCTGCAGCTGCTCATCTAAAGAGCCCTCATTCAATTTTCCTTAAGGATCATTCTGTCTCACAGTTTCTTGTTCGGCTTTATTAGGTTTTATAAACAGACAGGAAACCTCTCTTG